CACCAGCAACAGCAGCAGTGTCTGGGCCTCGCCCTTCAACTCTCCAGGCCTGGGGCCTCAGGCCCCTGGCCGAGAGGCAGCAGTAGTAGTAGCAGCAGCAGCAGCAGCGGCTGCTGCTGCTGCTGCTGCTGCTGCTGGAGGGACTCCTCCTGGTGAGGAGACGTTGCCAGCGCTTCCGAGCTCAGCAGCAGTGGGCGCAGCAGCAGCAGAAGCCGCTGCTAACGCCCCGACACGCCAGCAGCAGCAGCAGCAGCAGCAGCAGCAACAGTGCAGCAATCCGCTGCAGTCTATGCGCTGCAATCTGCAGCGCCTGCTGCGAGATGGCGTGCCGGCGCAGCTGCTGCTGCTGCGGTTTTCAAACGAACAGGGCACGGGTGCGTTGCTGCCTGCTGCTGCTGCTGCTGCTGCTGCTGCTGGGGGTCAGACCGCAGGCGGTGTCAGTGATGCAGCAGCCTTGGCAGCAACAGTAGATAAAACGGCATCTACGAGTCAAAGCAGCAGCAGCAGCAGCAGCAGCAGCAGCAGAAGCACTCTGCTGCTGCTGCAGGCCAGGAGGTCTTCCTCTGACGAGAGTCAACCCGTTGCTGTGTTACCGCTAACTGTGCGTGCAGCAGCAGCAGCAGCTGCAGCAGCAGCAGCAGCAGAACACTGTAGCTGCAGTTGCGGCAGCTGCAGCACGAGGCGCGGCTCTGGAGGAGGCGGAGAGCTTGAGAAGAGGGTAATTGAATCGAGCAGCAGCGGTGAGGGGAGTAGCAGCAGCGGCAGCGGCAGCAGCAGCTGCAGCAGCGACAGCAGCAGCAGTTGTTGCTGCTGCACCTCGTGGGCCCTTGCTAGTCCCTGCGGGACGGTATTTGCGCGTATAGACTGCAGCGGCTGCTGCAGGGAGCTGCTCTGCTGCTTGCTGCTGCTGCCTATTGTAGAGTATCGCATGCGTTGCCACGCAGACCCAGAGGAAGCAGCAGCAGCAGCAGCAACAGCAGCAGCAGCAGCAGCAGTAGCAGCAGCAGCAGCAACAGGTCCTGTTCCTGAATTTAAATGTACAGAAGCGGGTCCTGCATCAGGAAATTCTGATGCAGCTGCTGCTCTCTGTGCAGCAAGAGTGGCTCCTAGCCTGAAGGTGTTTTTGGGTTTGGTGGT